TTTGGGACCTGTTCCTCCCACCTAGTGGTGGTCTCTCTCTTCTACCTACCTGCCATCTACATGTACCTGCAGCCCCCTTCCAGCTACTCCCAAGAGCAGGGCAAGTTTATCTCCCTTTTCTATTCCATAATCACTCCCACCCTCAATCCTTTCATCTATACCCTGAGGAATAAGGATGTGAAGGGTGCTCTGAGAAGACTCCTGGCAAGGATCTGGAGGCTCTGCACAAGATGAAGACCTGAGATGTGGCAGTATCCATCGGTTAGAGAGCACTGGGCCAGTGTATTGTGTGCTCAGATCACCTTTCATTAAGGAGTCAATAACCAAACAGTGTGTTTTTGAGAGATCTGAGAGTCCCCAAAAATCCCTTACCCAAAACATCTCACTTCCTGCGTGCTCACAGCATCTGAAAGCCCACTTTTCCCAATAGTCTTTAATTCTAAGAGGCCGTATGTTTTTAGAAATTGTTTAAACAATTGATATTCAATAAGGATTTGTCAAAGTATTTAATTTCTAATTTTCTGATTCCTTCCCCTTCTCATCTTCCTACTTTTCTTCTATTTCTCCCCCATTTGTCTCTTTCTAAATTTCTTTCTTCCTTTTCTCAAATATCCTAAGTATAAATAATGTAAACTGAAACATAATCTTATATTACTTATAATAATTTCATGTTCTTCTCCATATATTTATATATCCATAAATTGTATGACTTTGAAAAAAAATTCTAAAACTGAAGAATATTACTTTCTTCTTCCTGTGATCTTAGATTATGCTTCTTTTTTCTGAAGTTCAGGTTTTTGTCTATAGAAAGTTTTTCCACCATTGACTGAAAACAATACAAGCATATGTACTGTGACTCTATATTGGTTCTCTGAGTACGAATAAAAATAGTATAATCTCTTATCTAAAAAACAGAATACATTCCAGTTAAGAATACAGGATAAATACAATCATAGTTAACGACAATAAAACTTTATTTTAAATAACAAGTTCAAGGTAATTGTAATAGCTAACATTTATAGAAAAGGTTTCCATGATGCAGGTACTAGATTAAGTGTATTTATATATACCCTCCTGTTTAATCCTCAAATAAGCTTATAATATAATCATTTTATGATCCCTCATTGTCATAAAATAATTTGATGATTAGAGAGATTGCAATAACTTGGCCATCTGGTAAGCGTTCAGAGAAATTGAGACCAGCTCAGAAATTAAGGGCCACCTCCCTTAGTAGAACAGAACCATGATGTTAGGACTTTTTATTTGCATTTTGTTTTCTCTTCTTCTAGATTTATTTAAACTTAATTTATTCATTTTTATCCCCCTACCATGTACATGCCAAATATTAACATAACCAAGCAGAGAAAATGAAATAATAATAATAAGTGAAAACTAGGACAAAAGGAAAATTAAAGAAGTCTTTGTTATATGGTAAAGACAAAAAAGGAATGTGAATCACAAAGCTATAGCGTTTGATTTAAGACAAGTGAAAAGACCATGACTTCTCCTGTTAACCAAGATCACAAAGGATTTTTCCCCTGGGCCATACAGCAGCCACTGGGTAACAGCTCAAAGCCCTTTAGAACGACCTTAGTGAACATACATAATGATGCACAAGAGCTTTCTCTCCTGATTTTTCCTAATGGCACAGATTCAAGGCACAATTCAATGAAAAGAATGTAACATGAAAGAAAGTCAGTCCACACGTATTAACTATGTAATGAACTGA